ACTGAGTACGTATAATTTCTCAAGTATCAATATATGAGGAACCCCTGAACACTTGGATACACAGAGAAATGGTTTCTTTCATATAAAGAATCGATTTTTTAAAAATATATATATAATTAGCACTGCAGGCAGTTGAAGGGTGCACTGGGGTTCAATATATTATGGAAATTTTACATAATGAAAAGTTTCAAAAATAAGTTTTATTTTGTCCTCCAAAGATAGGCCCAAATTACACAAGTAAAGGATTTATTTTTCACACCAATGTCTTTCTATTACAAATTAAGTTTTGTCAGTAGCAACATTAGTCAGAAACCTTAAGAATTCTCTTGATAAGACTGCCACCTACTGGATTACTTAAATCTCACTTTTTGCAGTTTGTGATTTAAACACATTAACTACCACATTTAACATAACAAAGGTAAAAGGTTTTTTTTCCAAAATAGATAAATCTAAATATTTACATAAGTTCCCATATCATAGATAAATCTGTCTGTTACAGTGAACAAAGTATTGTTTGGGCAAGACCAATTAACCTGAAGCAGTATCAGTCAATTCTCATTTGGGTATTTACAGTGATCATCTGACAGAATGAGTAAAAATGGAAGCAAAGAAATTTAACATGCGCTGGGGCCTGGTCTATAACCCAGCTACTTGGGAGGCTGAGATCAGGAGGATTATGGTTCAGGGCCAGAAGAGGCAACTAGTTAAAGAGACCACATCTCCAAATTAACAAGGGCAAAATGGACTGGAGGTGTGGTTCAAGGGGTAGAGTGCCTGCTTTGCAAGTGCAAAGCCCTGAGTTCAAACCCCAGTCCCACCAAAGAACAAAAAGGAAAGTTAACATGGATTTAGTAACTATTACTGAAATACACATTACTGAAACACAGATGCAAGTGTTAGTTATTACCAACAAGATAGTTAAATTATGATGAAAGTGATATAATTTAGCTATTCTACAATGTATACAAATCTCAGAACAATAGATATATATCATTTTTATTTGTCAATTTAAAAATGAAATATAATAAAAACAATATAGTAAGTGGTTATGGAATTAATTTTTTAAACAATTGTCCTTATGTATACAAATGCATGCTTGTGTTTTAGGAAAATTTCTAATAACAGTAACATACACTGATAAAAAAGAAAGTTGTTCTCAAGTAACTTGGAAGTTGAGATAATGTGCTCTGAGAAAATTATTCAAAAAGTACCTTAAATGATAAAGAAGATACTGATGTTGAAGATTATTGAAATCTGAATAAAATTATCTGATGAATATCAGAGTGGGTAAAAAGTAACACTTCTAAATTACTGTTTTCTATTATATATTTAAAATGTGTGTGTAAATGTTTACAATCAAGTTAGCAAAAATATATATATTCGTCATGGTTTTTACATTTGAATTGAGCAATTTGGGGCTTCTCATTGGGAAAGGATTGTTTTTTATTCAGGCATAGGTTAGGTGTAATACACCATTTAATCATAAAAGCAAGAGTTTCAAAAATATTTATTCAAAGTTAAATTAGTCATCTCAACTGAAAGCTGCTTTTTTGTTATGCCAGGAAAAAAGTGCTCAAAAAAAAAGAAAAGATGGGCATGTGATAAGGACAAGGTTTGAATGGGCTCTCATTGGCTAATTCCCAGGCAATCTAAACAACAAAATAATTAAATACTTTAAATTATAATTTATAATTTAATTATAAAGCACTGAAGAGAAAAATGAAAATCAGGAGTCTACCAATAGTAAGTAGTACCTAACTAAGTGAAATAAGGGAAAGCTCAGAATGCCAATGATGGCTAAGACAGAGAGTGCAGGAACTGGAAAACAATTACTGTGCAATCATAGTAAAGATTGAATCAGACAAGAATCATGAATGAATGCTAACTCAAGGAGGAAATTTTGATTAGGAGCAGTATAATTTTGTAGTCTTAAAAGAATCTTTATATAGGCTTCTTTCTAGTTATAAACGGGGGGTGGAAGGGGGAAGCAGTTAAACGTGAAGAAATCAGAATCCTCATTAGGTAATAGAAATTAATAATACCATTAAGGAACAGATGACTATTAAACATCTCCAGATTATCTTGTGAAGTATACAACTATCTGTGTAGCAATGTACAACTATCTATGTAGTAATGAACATATTAAACAAGCCCAAAACAAACACTGTTATTTTTAAAAGAAGGGAAAGGAATACATTCTTCAATGTATTTCACATCTTAAAAGCTAAACAAAGGCTGAGGAAATGTCCCAAATTAAAGAAAGTTAAAGACATGGCAACTAGTGCAGTATCTAACCCTAGAGTGAATCCGGAACTAAAAGGAGGAAAAGGGTGTTACTGGGCTAAATGACAAAATTGGAAGACAAATTATAGGTTCCATAAAAAGTACTGCATGGATACTAAATTCACTGGACCTGATAAGTATACTGCAATTATGTAAGAGATATCCCTATTCCTGAGAAATATATACTGAAGTACCTAGGAGTAAAGGGACATAAAATGTATCATAATATATGTAATTTTTAAACTGTTCAGAAAAACTGTGTGTGTGTGTGTGTGTGTTGTGTGTGTGTGTGTGTGTTAGAAAGGGGGAAGACATATGTTCTGAGAAGAGTGGGGGAGGGAGGGAGAGACAAAAAGAAGGAGGGAGGGAGGGAGGAAGGGAGGGAGGGAAAGAGAGAAAGAGAAAGAAAGGGAGGGAGGGAGGGAGGGAGGGAGGAAGGAAGGAAGAATTTAGATTAAAAGATTGTCATGCAGGGTACAGTGGTGTATGCCTATAATCCCAGCTACTTAGGAGGTTCAGACAGGATGGAAAGTTGGAGGTCAGCCTGGACAAGCTTGTGAGACCCTGTCTCAATTTAAAATCCATAAATAAATAAAAATAAGGATTACAATGGTTGTTAAACATAAAATCTAATCATATCTTTTGGAGCTATAATATTAAACATCGAAAGTACTTTATCAACCAATTTAAAATTCACCATTCTTTTACCCCATTAAGAAAGGTGACAACTACAAGATACCATAAACTGTAAGACACCAAATTTCTGAGATTTTAAATATGGAAAAACACATCTCAAAATTGATGAAATATGGTTTTTATGTATGAGCATACTTTGCAAACAATTAAAAAACTCATGTATGCATTACTGTGTCATGATGCTGAATAGAATTTTTTCTGTTACCAAAAATTGGTGGCAGGATCTAAGGATGGGAGCAAGTTGAGCTAAATACCCCTCTGCCTTCTAAAGCTGCAAATAACTTGGGGCCACATACTTCTCCATACTGAAGGACAGAGACGGCCATGATACCACCTGCCAGTACCTCAATTGCCCCCTCCCCCCCATTCCAGTCTGGAGAATGTGGAGAGGAGACAGAGAGAACTGTCATAATATATACAAACAGTTTTTTTTAACAAATTTTTAATACAGCAGTCTTGGTGAAGTTTTTTCTTTTGTTCACTACAATTTTCTCCCACTCTTTGAAGACAACTGAATAAAAATTTGTATTTCAAGTTTGACACTTCAAACAATCTTATTTATTAATAAACATTTTTTTAAAATATCTTTTTTGGTGGGGGCAAATCCAACTAAGATATATTTTAAACACGTATGTAAATATCACAATGTATCGCCCTGTACAACTATTATACACTAATAAAATCATTAAAAAATAAAATGTCTTTTTTTATGGCGGTAATCAGTTTTGAACTCAGGGCCTTGTGCTTGCTAGGCAGGTGTGCTACCACTTCAGCCATGCCTCCAGCCCTAGATAATACTTACTTCCTGTAGAATAGTTTCCCTGAGAATGAGATTGATGTGTCCAATTACAGATATTTCTTTTATCTTTATAGGTGTTGCCACACTGGTTTTCAAATAGAATATATAGGCATTTGATATTTCCATTAACAATATGAAAATACCCTTCTGCCCATATTGCCACATATTTTTTGCAAAGGTATCTTATGGTTGCTTTAATTAGCATCTCACTATTTGTGAATTAAGACATCTTTAGATGTGTTTGTTATGGATATAAATACCTTTTCTGTGATTTGTCTAGTCATACTCTTGCCCATTTTTCTCCTTTGTTTTCTGTCAATTATTAAAAAGGTGTGTATATTATAGATATTAACCTTTCATCTATCATCTAAAATTCTTTTTTTTCTGAACTGTCATCTATTATTGACTTTGAGTGTCTTGCCCTATAAGAGTTTGTTTTCCGGTAATAGTTAGATAGGTCACAGATAGGCAAGGCACAGAGAGAGACAGATTGAAAGAGAAGTGGTACATTGTTAACATTTGGGTAATCTAGGTGAAGAGTATATAAGAATTTTGGTTCTATTTTTGTAATTATTCTATAGGTCTGTAATTATTTCAAAATAAAGTGTTTTAAAATTTGCTCACACTATACTATAAAAATGAATCTACTATTACAAATGTCTTAATTTTTTTAAAAATGGAAAATAATAGGCTCAGTCCAGCTGCTGCCATTAAGTGTTCAGACATTTTAAAAAAAAGACAGAGAAAGAGTGAGCCAGGTGCCAGTGGCTCAAGCCTGTAATCCCAGCTACTGGGGAGGCAGAGATCAGGAGGACTATGGTTCAAGGTCAGCCTGGGCAAACAGTTTGTAACAGCCTATCTCAAACAATATCCAACATTAAAAAGGGATGGTACAGCACCTGCCTAGCAAACATGAGGCACTGAGTTCAAACACCAGTACTGACAAAACAAACAGTTTGTTTTCTGAATAGCTTTCCTATAATTGATACACAGACATACATACATGATTCATTTTATATTTAAAAGATTCATCTCTCTTTTAAAGCTTCTTAAATTCCATTAACTAAAGAGAATAAAAATAAATAAAAAGTTAAGATATTTGCACTATATGAACATAAAAGACAGCCAGAAATGGGATGTGAACAAAAAGGGTTGAAGCAGTTATTACTGAAAAACTAAAATCATTTTGTGTTTATTTCTTCCATCAACTGAAATTTTCAGTGAACCATCTGTTTCTAACTAACTTTATCTAACCAACTATATCTTTTTCACTAGAGAAAATGAAGTATAGTGAAAAGCCACAGTGAGTAATATAACTGAGATTCAACAGTATGTCTTTTGAAACACAATAACAATTTCAATACAAGTTTTTGGTAGGGTTTGGGAGCAAGTCACTTACCTTTCAATAGCTAGTTCTTTGTTAGAAAGTTGTTGCACTGTAATCACAACTTTCTTCTCTATTCCTTGCTTTAATTTGAAATAAAATTTATCTCTATCCTTAGGCACAGGACTGAAATATTCAAAAAGAACAAGAATTACCAATACAATAATACAATAAAATAGTAAGAAAACCTATTCCATGATTAGAACAAAACAAAATATTTAAGCAATAGCACTCTTACTCTTAATTTGTACTTAACTCGTACCTTGCCACTAGTAGTAAGCTATAAATTTTATAATCAATAAAACAGACTGCACTAATTTTTGTTTAATTTGCAAGAGCCTTAAATTTCATCTCCTAACAAGGTTACAACCAAGATCTAAAAAAAATTACAACATGATATAATTTCAAGTATTAGTTTCTTTAACATAGTTTTATTTCTTTTTTTATTTTTAAGACTGTCACATTTCTGGTGGTCATATGGACCTGTAACACAGGGAAACTCAAGATAAAAGTGTGAGAACTTACTTTTATATTATCTAGAATTTGAAATGACTCTGACATATACAAGTAAATTAAACAAAAGATGGACCAAGGGATATAGATCATGACAAGTTAATCAGTCTAGCCTAATTCAAAGTATTTATATAATAAATAATTCATTAAAACAATAAATGTCTAAAATATGGGTTGTATCATCTGAAAAAGCACTTTTGAACAACTAATTTGACCTGATACCAATTTCTACATCTGTAAAAATACAAATAAAATACCTACCAGCGATTATTGTTAGAATTAAAGGGCAAGTTAAGCCATATTAGGTAAGCATCAAACAGTGTAACTATTTCCTATTAGTTACCTATTTTTAACTTGAGAAAAATATTTTAAATGTACAGTAGAAAGAAATGTTTAATTAAGTGATAGCCAAACCATATAATGTACTACTAGTAACCGTCAGAATTATTTTGATTAAAAATATTTTAAGAAGAAGTGTTGACAGAGTGGCTCAAGGGGTAGAACACCTGCCTAGCAAGTGTGAGGCCCTGAGTTCAAATCCAGGTACACCAAATTTTAAAAAATTAAGGAAAAAAACTGTATTTCTATAATTACGTAAAATTTCCCCAGAAATAAACAAAGGGAATAAATCAAATATTAGGTGATTATCTATGGCTAGCAAAATTATAGCTTTTATTCTATTTTTATTTTTTAAATGTTCTATGTAAATAAAAGTATTTTAGGTCATTAAAAACAACACATATAAATATCAGAAAAGCATGAGTGAAACAATTATTCACCAGCCAAATATTTCTTTGAAGTTTTATGTCAATGTTGTCTGCTTCTAGAAACTGTTAATCAATATTAAATTTCAGGCACAATGCTAATTTCTATTCTTTTCAAATAACCTCACCTAAAGTTTCCTTTTCCATCATCTTCTTTTACCTCCAAGGAAACACTGAAGGTAAATACATCACTGTCAGGGGTCGGAATAATTGAGTCTTTAACATCAGACACTTGTCTGGAAGAACGTTTGAATGCTGTACAGAAACTATATAAAATTCTGCTTACCTAAAAGAATAAAAATGGGAATACCATTAGGCATGGATTTTAAATGTATTCTGATACCCTTCTTTCCCAATTTGTGATTCTGTAACTTTCCATTACCACAGTTTTCTTTAGTAAAGTATATAAACTTTAAGCATCTCAGTTATTTAGCTATTACACACTAATAATTTTTATCAACTATGCATTAAAGAGTGGGTAAGTAACTGTATATGATAAACACAGACCATCCTAACTCTAAATTATTACACCTAAAGACTTAATTAGTGTGAAGTCTAAGGGAAATATTGCTAAAAGTATACCTCAAAAAGGTAAATTAATTTCAGAGTTTTTAAATTTGGAAATTAACAACAGGACATTAAATCACAGAAACAAGTTTAAATATGGTATGCATTTTCAAACTTATATGAATAAAATCCAAGTGTAAGCATTTTAGCATAAACACTGCAGACTGGAAGAGAATATTTAGGAGCTGCAACCAGGATCTGAGCATCCTGAGAATGAAGAAAAGTAGGAGGATAGAGTCCGCTCAAGAAAAGGAATAAGTTGATGTCTTTAACTGTGATTCAGATACTCTCCCATTACAAAAATGCACGAGATGTATGGCCAGAAAAAAAAATGCTGTCAGTATTAGAGAGGATCATTTCACTAATACAGAAATTTTTCTTTGAAGAGGCTCTCAGATGATATCTAATGAAAAGGCAAGGTTTCCTTCAAAGAAACATCATTTGTCAGGAAAAATTTATTCTATAGAGCAAAGAATATTTTATTCATGGTCATTTCTCCCCAATATAGTCAGCCAAGGTCTCTTTGGTGGCAAATACATGAACAAGTTATTTCCGCTAGGGAACTGAGATGTTACTTACTGCTATCTATCAGTAATTATCCTTTACATGTACAGCTTTTTAGTTTACAAACTCCATGTGTATGCATTACTCCATCTGATCTTCTAGAATAAACTAAAGCAGACCTAGCCAGTATTTGCAATACTTTTTTGCACATGAGTAGAGTTAAAAACTTTCTCCTAAAATCATGTAGCTATTAAGTGACAGTTAAATCTAAGAACTTGAGTTGAGGGCTTTTTAAGGAGGCTGCTCTATAACATTATTTTGATAGTTCTCCGCTATCAATGACTTCCTCTCATGGAGTAGTAAAAAGAAAATCAAGCTCAATGAATACATGTGTATGTGCATGACTACAGTACATAAACATGCTCAAGTGTGATCATATTAGGAAACTGTGGCTTCGTTAAGATTCATTTAAATCATCTCCCAAATATTCTTATTTTGTTCTTTTCAACTCTGCATTTAAACATGCTAATAAAGATGGACTGATTCAAGTTGGCAAAATAAGCTATATTTATTTATACATGTTTCTAGGCTTCAAAATACACTGTAAAATATTGCAAGGAATGGATCCTAAGATAATTACTAAAATGAGACTAGCATCTACATTTTCCCAATGAACACTCACAAACAAGGTTTTAGCTCAAGGCTTTCTCTTTTCATATCCCTTACCTCCAGAGGACTAGGTACTGAGCCACAGAATAAAAACAAATACTAGTGTCTTACCAGTAAGAAAATATGGGTACATGGCTTGAAGAACTTCCAGTGTTTTTACTCAATGTTGTTGTGATGCAGAAGTATTGGAGATTCTCAGAATGAGTGAATGAATAACTGAATGGTGAAATGATCTTAATCTATTCTATTAGTATTAGGTCACTCAGGTTGTTACTATATAGAACATGGAACTGGAATTTATATTCCAAACATATATACATATACACACACATACATAAATATAAATATAAATAGCTCAACCTTTTCCCTTAAAGTGGCAAACTACTATAAAAACCACACTTAGGGCTGGAGGTGAGGCTCAAGTTATAGAGCACCTGCCTAGCAAGTGCTAAGCCCTGAGTTCAAACTCCACTACTGGCAAAAAATAAACATTACACTTTTCAAAAACTGTTCTCTTCCACTGTCCCAAAAAAAAAAAAAAAAAAAAAAGAAGCATAACATCTCAAACTTGTGAGTTTGAAACACAAAGGACGTTCCAAAGCTCTCGGTCCACCCATAGGTTGAATAATGAAAAAAAGGTGATATGAGAGAGGTCAAACAAAGATCATATTTTAAATACTTCACACTGAGAAGTATAAGGACATTTCTGAATATTAACAAATATCTTACTTTTTAATTGAAATTATCATTGAATATATTAATTAACCTAGGAATACAATGTTTTGTAATTTGCTTGAAACAAGAACACTGCCTTGAATAGAATTTTTTGGGCTGGTGATGTATGCATAGGCCCTGGGTTTCATAACAGAACCACAAAAAAAAAAAAAAGAGAAAGGGAGAGAGAATTTGTAAAAGTGTAGGGCCTTTCTTCATTTTTCTATTTTTGTTTTATTCATATGTGCTGGCATAAACCTTTTCCTGTATACATACACAGTCTATCACATTCAAAATCAAGTAGTCCTCAAACTTTTATAGACACACTTACATAATGTATTCAATAATACCCTTAACTATCTTTTTAATGACAAAATGTTTCTTAAATTAACTAACACTTTTTTTTATATTTTCAGCAACTCTACAAAAATGCTCCTGCAAGTTTGAAGTTCAACTTCAGCAGTAGCACCATATTTATAATACAATGTTCACAAAATTTTAAAAATATTTTGCCACGTTAATGCATGTTGTAATTTAAATTTTATATAAACAAGTAAAAAATGTAAGCAGCAAAATATTGATTTTAATAAAGAACTGTAAACAGTTCAAATCTTTTAACAAGACAATAAATACCCTCATTCAATAAGTTTTTGAGGTCAGGCACCAGTGGCTCATGCCTGTAATCCTAGCTACTTAGAAAGCAGAGATCAGGAGGATGCTGTTTGAAGCCAGCTTAGGCAAAATAGTTTGTGAGACTCTATCTCGAAAACCCTTCACAAAAATAGGGTTGGTGGAGTGGCTCAAGGTGAAGGCCCTGAGTTCAAGTCCCAGTACTAAAAAAAAAAGTTTTTGAGTACTTTCTCTGTGCAAGTATTAGAGTAGGGACAAGGGATACAGAAGAGAACACAGAACTTATACTCCAAAAAACATAAGTTAAATGTGCTTGAGTAGTGTAAAAAAGGAATCGTTAGTAAGCCAAAAGCAGAAACATTTAGCCTAATCTGCATACTTACTGGATTTAGCACAGTAATTTAAGTGTTATGAAGGAAAACAGAATCAAAGAACATGCGAGGACTATGCCATTGAAGATTGCACCCACAAGGTAAATAAGGACTTTTAGTTTTTTGGGTATCCCCACTTCTTACCCCCAAATACAATATGAAGTCTACTTTTACTTTTTGTACAGTCAACTTCAGTGTATTTTAATAAAGCAATATATAGAAAAATAGGGGAACACCTGAACATAATTTTGTATAAAATTAAGAGTCAAACTCTAACCATATTTATTCTTTTTTCCTTTTCTCATCTCTTCTTCTAACCCTTTCAATTTCTTTGTGTCAGAGATAACAGCAAGCTTCCAAATCAGAAAGCCAAGGCAAAAATGTAAAAGAATTTGACAAGTATTTTTAAAAAAATGGCAAGGCTTCCAGAATTTCTTTTTAAAAGGCTAAGGATACAGAGTTGAGCCAAAATGATAAAGAATGACAGGAAAAAAAGAATCAGACTGCACCTTTCTCTCTTTTGGTGAACAATGTACAATAGTTCATTAACGGTAAACAAATCACATTTAATACTATGTCTCACAAGTTGCTATTTCTACCAAAGAGGTTAAAAACACTTATAAATTCTAGAGTCTGTGACTAGGTTGAAATGGTAAGGTAAATTTCAGAAACAATAATTATCAATGACTATGGTTCTTGAACAAACTGGATAAACAACTACATGAAGAAAATTGGAAATATATTCCATGGGAAGCACTTCAATATGTGTCACATTATTAAAACACATGCACACACAAAAAATAATCTAGAATGGGCATTTTCTTTGCAGAGGTAAGGGTTTATTGATAAATAATACTATACAATTCAGAAAGCAATAACTATAGAAAGTATTAATTAAACACAAAATTGTGTATGTGATTAGTTGTTGCTGTTTTTGAAAAGGTGAGAAGGAGGCACATATAAATATCTGAAACAGAGACATACCAAAATCTTAACCGTAGTGCAATTCTGATCACCTTTTATTTTCTTCTTTATTTCAGCATACTCAAAATTCTCAAACATGTATTACATGGTAAAAGTTCAAATTATGCTACTATATAACAAAGATACTTACTTAAAATAAATATAACTAGTTTTTCCAAGATAAAGCCTTTCCATTAATAATAAAATATACATTTTTAGAAATACCATATATCAAGAAAATGTTTACTTTAGAAATAAATGTAGAAAACTCATTCTATGAAAATATATATGCTTGCCAGGCATGGTGGTGCTTGCCTATAACTGCATCTATTCAGGAAGTGGAGGGAGGAAGAACATGAGTTTGAGGACAAAAAGGCAAAAGTTAACAAAACTTCTCCTCAAAAACAAAATACAAAACAAAAGGACTCAGGTGGGTCAAGTGGACTCAGGCTGTGGCTCAAGTGGTAGAGCACTTGCCTAGTATATGTGAGGCCCTGGGTTCCATCCCAATACAGGGAGGGAGGAAGGAAGGGAGGGAGGGAGATAGGCAGGCTACAACTTTTTTTAAGACAACTTGTTCAAATGCACTATTTATTGCAAGGAGCCAAAATAAAAGAAAGAAACCTTTTAGAAAACTATTATCCAAGAATGTTTTTTAAAAAATTATAGAAATCAGCTTCAGGAAAACACTAACAAGATAACATCTCAATTATTTTCTAAAATAAAGCATTTAGCTAAAATACCTTCTCAATAAATATTTCTTCAAAAATATTTTCCCAGGTAGTAAGATTTTCTCTTATCTAGTAGCATATTGGCAAGCCCAGGGAAAACAGTACATTAGCCAGACACAGTGGCTCACACCTGTAATACTAGTTAATCAAGAGGTAGGATAGGGAAAAGCATGGTTTCAGACCAGCCCAGGCAAACAGTTAGCAAGACCCCATCTCAACCAATAAAAATCTGGGAGTGGTGATACACACCTGTCATCCCAGCTATGCAGGAAGTGTAAAGAGGAGGATTGGGTCCAGGCCAGCCAGAGCATAAAAGCAAGACTCTATTTGAAAAATAACTAAAGCAAAAAGGACTGGCAGCATGGCCTCAGTGGCAGAGCACCTGCCCAGCAAGTGCAAGGCCCTGAGTTCAAACCTCAGTGCCACCAAAAAAAAAAAAGAAAGAAAGAAAAAACAGTGCATTAAGAAAAGACATTGAGGCAGAATGATCACAAATTCAAGGTCAGCCTGAATTACACAGCAAGAACGTGTTTCAGGGGAAAAAAAAAAAAAGAATAAAGATTTCCCAATGATACCATTTATTATGAAATATTAATGGCAGTTGAGAAAAAAATGTGCTTCTAAAATACAACACTGAGAGTTGCTAATATTCACAAGTATTTCAAAACATACCAAAAAATCTTCAAAATCTGCTTTGAAGAAAATGTTTCATTAGCTAATAGAAATAAAATCTTATAGCAATTAAGCCTTTTTAAAGTATCTTTTAAAAGTTTTGTACAGTATATCTATAAAGATGTAACAAGCATAGTTGCATTCTTGGTTTTTTTAACCATTTCTGATATTTTTCTTTGTATTCAATACTTCAGTAAAGCCTAGAAAACCACTATCCCTGTACAAAGATTACTGACGTTAAGATACTTCTGGTTCAATTGTCCAACTCTTTGCAGTAGGTTACAAAGATCCACTCCAACAGGATCCTGCAGAAGATCATCCAGGGTAAAGTCAAATGTGTCCTGATCCTTCTATGGAAACTCCTAACCCTTGTATCACAAGCGTCCAAGACAGCCATCACTCTTACTGGGCTTCCCTTCTACCAATGTTAGTGGCTGCTGTGTGAAGGGTTTTATAGTGAAGTAAGAACATCAAAGTGGCAGCTGGTAGAAGCAGTTATGTTGTTACTCCCACTTGAGAAAGCATCTTCTTCCCTATACTTAAAAAAAAAAAATACTTCAGAAATCATCCAGGGATTCTGCCAAAAAAAAAAAAAAAAGAAAAATAAATAAATTAGTACTATTGCACAGTATATACTTAATTGATAAGAATGTCTGCCACTTAGTTCCTGAGTTATCTGTGCTAATCACTTATGCCTATCTAGAAGAACTCAAATACTAAAGACTATAGTTGTCCCTTTATCATTTCTGGGAACCAAATAACCAGACTTCAGATTAAATTAAAAGTGCAACTATATTTTGAGTGGAGAGAAATATACTAACAGCTTCTGCAAAAGACTCAAGTAAACCACAAAGGTAGCTGGAATGCAAGATAGGTGGCTGATAAATCCATTTACAAAAAAACAAAAGACAAAAATCCACATTATGTTTTTTATAATAGTTAAGCAACAAGAAAGTTGTTGCTGAAAAATACATAGCCCTTCAGAGTTAAAGACTTCAATTTGAAACAGAGTTTTATTATCCATTTTCTTAGCCTCAGGATAAACAAAGGCTAACCATACAACTTATCATGCAAACCAGAACACTTTTGAGAATAAAAAGAAAGGTATTATTGATATAGCTGGACAATAGGCATAAAGTAGGACTGCTCCAAACAAAGAGAAACAAATGGTCACTAGTCTAAAAAAATGCTATCCATGCCATGAGTATCAAGTAAATGTATTATTAGCACAATCCCTGACATAAGCTCTCTATTTATAGTGAGTTACCCTTCGTTTAGAAATGATGTCTCATTATAAAGTTTAATGGCCACTATCATGTATTCCTTCTTCAAATAATGTACTTTACCACCAACACTCCACAATTTAACACTTTTAAATATATATTCTAAAAAAAAAAATACATGGAAATCACTGTCTCACAACCTGGAATTCACCAAATATCCTCTCTAAAAATAGAATCAGTATTATTTATCCAAAATGGACAAGCCAAGAGTTTCCCAATTTTTTTCTACTGCTTATTTCTTAATGCTCTCAAAAATAACATTTCCCCCACTCATAAACAATTAGATGCTATAATTCCAAAAGAAAGTTTCATACCATCACAGTCATGGAAAATGCTTGCGACAAGGTCCCTTTCAATTTCCTTCTACAGCAGTGTTTTTATCTCCCCACGCAGCAGGTTCTCCAGTTCTTCAAAACTCATTTCCTTGCTCTTGGGCTCCAATGATCCAGTAACCACATAGGTGTGTTAAATGACAGCTGCCAACATGAAATGTCAGGACTCTACCATCTGTTTCCCCACCTCTACAGTGGAGTTTGTAGGATGAGAAATAGTCCCCCTCATTCAAACACACATGGATTCTTTCAACACATTTAGATTCATTCATACTTGTACTCAACACACTTTACTCATTCACTCTCCTATCACACTTTTTTGAGAAGTAAAAAGTATATACGTAAATAGATAAGTATTCATATGAAACAAATTAAGGCCTATCTAAAAAAAGCACAATGCAGAACTTGAACTTTGTACACAAGGCATGGACTATGGCACAGAATTTCTATGGATATGATTTAAATTATGTGTCTCTGTATATGCTCATTTCAGTGTAAAACAAACTAATCACCAGGTCTTCAGAAATGACATATCCACCATGATTTTGTGTCAGACTCACAGAGATCTACATTTCTATGAATTTTCCTTTTTGTGACTCTCAGAACTCCAGTTAACACAATGTTTATTCATGTTTGATGGGAAATGAAGAATAGAATATAACTGCTGCTTTTACCATTTTCTGGACACAAGTTATATTTTCAAAAGCAAGCACCTAAACCCTTGCCCATCTAAAAACCCATTTATCAACAGCTTTGGAATGGCTTCAAATACTAAACTTCTAAATAATACAACTTATTTTTAATTTGGAGCAATTCAATAGCTATAGAAACAAAGAATATTTCCCATGTATTTTACAGTCACTTGATTCTGAACTATTTTTCCAGTATAAGAATAAACCACAAGTTAATAATTTCTAAGAACTTACTGGAGTCTTCAAAAGACTGTAAGTTGATATCCCTGGCTCTATGTGTGAATTTATATTTTAAATTGTGCCTGTTTCCAGAGCCTCCACAAGATAATAAGTAATCACCAGTGAAAACAAGAGATCTGTGAAACAATATTAGTGCAATATCTAAGTGAAAGAAATATGCAACTATCAAGCCCATTCAAGAAAAAAAAAAAAAAACAGGTATTGTTACAGACACTTCTTGAATCGCATGAACCAGTTTACTTGACCAAAATAATAAAAAATATATAAATATTCATCCTTTCTGAGCATAAATAATTAGTACAATGGTAGGGTGCAAGGATAGCTCATCAAATGGTATTTTTCTACTACACCTGCTAAACTGTAAGAATGCCTTATCTATAATATCATTTTAATGTAGCCATACCAGACTTAGCTTTTTATATTCAGTTTTATGCTATTACAGACATTAAATTTTGTCTTCAGAAACAATCTCCAAACTTATACAATGTATTTATATAACAAGGAAATTAAGAGTTAAAAAATATTACCTAATTCATCTCTACAGAAAATTGCTACACTATATTATACTTACTGCCTCTTTAATTTCACAGGAGAAAACATGTATCTGAAATTCTTCTGAACCATGGGAACTCTCTGTAAATGCAAAGCAATTGCTCTCTGCTGTTCCATCATGTCCACGTGCACAGAACAACACCTTATAGATTGGAAAAGATGCTATCTCCACATTGTTGGATTGGTCTATGATTCTGCAGAACAGTGGTTTAAAAATGAGATAAATGTTAACTATCAAGGAACAAAGACAGATAGTTTTACTATGTAAATATAGGACACACAAACATAACTACTTCAAACAAAAATAAATTTGTATCAATAATGCAAGAAAACAAGTTATCTTTATGTTCCTGCAAATGTTACATACATATAAGCACATATACACATTCTTCACCTTCTTTTACAATTTGTTCATTATTGTGTTTCCTAAGCTCCAACTCATTTACTCCAAAGCCAAGTAAACAGTGTCTGGTAAAATCTATTATCACTAATCCCTAAATTCAAGTCTTGCTCTGTTAAAAGGAATGTCAGTACATTATAGCACAGATTATTCCTAGAAAGTCTATTTCTTTCCAGAGCAGCACCTGTAAGTTTAGCTAAGCCCCATGTAATTTTTCAATTGAGACCTCTTTTACTCCCCAAAACTGTCAGGTGATTACAAAGATACTGAAAGTACTTTGTGGGAGTAAAAACCAAATAATTCTGACTTTGCCTATACACATCCTATGTCTTGGATTGATTTAAATATTCTAGGCCCCTTCAAGATCTCAAACTGAAAAACTGAAGGAAGGGCTGAGGTGGGAGGAGGCAACCACTGGAACAGAGAGGCAAATCAAAACACTAAGCGTTTGTGAAGGCATGTGTGGTAAATTAAAAGTAAACAGATAACCTCAAACACATTTTTAGGAGATACCACATAAATAATATATTTACGTAATACTTTCCTGAAAAACTCAGCATTTTTATCAAAACTTTCTAAATTTAAATTGTTATTATTCAGTACTTGGAACTTAGTGGTCACTCTTTAGGAACCACTCCATCAGCCCACTCTCTAGTTTTTTGACCCACTGCTCCATAATAGGCTAAGTGCAGCATTTTACGCCCCTTTAGAATAGAAAAATACAAATTACAAGTACTTTTACATTTTTATTTCCATTTAGAATACCTAAGCATAATTTTTTAAAATACTGCTTGCAACCAGGAACAAAGTCTAAGCCTCAATATAATGTTTACTTTGCATGTCTACAGAGTGTAAGTCCTACATGTGACTTATGATATACCACTTACAACCATTCAAAAGACTTAAAATACATCCAAAGAAAAAGAAAATTAGAGTTTACCTCACAGAACCTTCTGGAACATTTGGCACATACAGAGTAACAGCAAAAGGGTACTGACTGGAAGATCTCATGGTTGCCATTGCCCTTAATGCCTCCACTTCATTACGTGGGGAAGAAACCTTCATACATCCTAAGTAGGACAGTTTATTAAATAAAACACTATCTTCTTCTCCACCTGGAGAAGATGGTCTGGGTGTGGAAATTTCTGAAAAAAAGAAAAGAAACACTCAAAAATCAATGTAAAACTGCACAGTGTAATTTTACCAAATGCTTAAAAAGAAATATTTCAAACAAAATTTAGGTCTCTTTGTATCTTAATTTCTTTTACTGCTAATCTTAAACCTTAATTCAGAATTCCAAAATTGGCAACTTTGTAATTTTAAATCTCTCCAGTATCATCTTGCTTAGCTCTAATTTCTTTGGAGAAAAAAGAAAAACTTTAAGCCTTCTATTTTTTGAAAAAAAATTTTTAAATACCCAAATGATACAGAATAATCAGGAGAAAAACTACACTAATGACAGTGTAAATTAACCTAAAGAAAAATGGGAAATAAATAAAAGTAAAATAGCACTACATTTACCAAGCAGCCTAACTTTCTAAGCAAAAATAAATGATGAAATTTTATATCTTATATCAATAACAAAGGCCAAGTTCTTATTTTCTTCCTTACTAACTTGTTGCCTTCTATGAACTATGAAAGTGTACAAATGGAATTTTTTCTTCCAATTGTTTTGGATGAATGATTCTGATTACTTCACCCAATTCCATCCCCTCCCCACAGTGAATTTAGGGGAAAAATGTTCCTTTAAATTCTAAGCACAGCATGAAGCAAAGGTAATGGTTAAAAAATATCTATCTGCATAGTAGTATAACAATATCCATTTGTACCCCCACTAACGGGATGAGAGAATCCATCTCAACGCCAACCATGCACAAAATTAAGCCTACCTATCTTGAACTATATTTTTGCAGCATTTTCAAATTCAACTAACTAAATTCCTTACAGGATTTAAAAAAAATAATTCAACAAATGCTAATATGCAAATAATAGAGGTAAAATAAACATTAAAAAATACTCATTTCAAAAGAAGACAGGAAAGAGGGGAGAAACAAAACAGAAACCAGAAGGAACAAACAGAAAATTAACAGCAAGAGGGTAGGTACACATAGGTCCAAATATATTAAAATTTACATTAAAAATCAATGGTAGCATGTTTGCCTAGAATGTGTGAAGCTCCACCCCCAGCACAGCAAAGCCAAAAAAAAAAAAAAAGTAAATGGTCAGTAACAGTCTTCACCCTTATTCTGTAAAGGGCCATAGGACAACTATTTTCGGTTTTGTGGGCCAAGAAGCAAAACATTAGGCTATTATGCAGGTATTTATATGATAAGAAAGAAAAAATTTTCCAGAGATTTTTTGATAAATTTCAAATTTTTAATTTATGAAAAGAAGTTATGAACTCTCAAATTTGAATTAATATTATTTTCATGTGTCACAAAGTATTATTCTCCTTTTGACATGTTTTCAACCATTTAAAAATGTTAAAAACTGGAAGAGGTAAACTTGTTCATGGTACACTATACAAATATATGGACTTAATATGAAATCCTCTCATATAATTAATGATTACATGAGATTTTATTTGATTTTAACAATTCAAAAATAAAATAAATTTCTTTTTAAAACATTAAAAGTCATTCTAGGGCTGGCAGAGTGGCTCAAGTGGTAAAGCACCTGCCAAGCAAGTGTGAGACCCTGAGTCAAAAGCTACATGTTTTCTCTTATATGTGGAATATAGGCCTGATACAAATATAGCAATATTATGAAATGCAGATCACACTAAGGGGAGGTCACATATGAGAGAGTAAGGGTAAAAGAAAGAAGTTAAGAATGTGAATATGGTTGCTGTACTTTCTATGCAAGAATGAATACAGAATTTTTAAACCTGTTAAAATCACCATAAAAAGGGGGACTAAGTTAGAAAAAAGAAAAATAGAGGAGATGAACCAACTCAGGTTATAATACATAAATACATGGAAATGTCACAACTCTCTGTGTAGCTTTTTTTTTTTTTTTTCTACAAAATTGGAGAACAGGAGGGCAGAACAGGTCCTGCCTGCTGTGGGGTTGGTACCAGCAGGAGAGGGGAAAATGTATGGGAGGGTGAATATAGTGCAAATACTGTGTACACAAGTATGCAAACAAAACAATGATACTTGTTGAAACTATTCCAGGAAAGGGGGGAGGAGAATAAAAGAGAACCATGTAGGGGGTGAATTCAAGTACGATCTATTTGTTATAGTGTAAGAACCTCTGTGGATGCCACAATGTACCCCCATCCAGCACAACAATTAAGAAAACAAAAAGTGTGAAGCCCTGAGTTCAAACCCAGTCCTGCCTAAATAAATAAATAAATAAAAATAAATAAATAAATAAATAAATAAATAAATAAATAAATAAATGCAAAAACCATTCTAAATCTTGCAAGCCATACCAGAAGTCAGCTTTGGCTCACATATAGTAGTTGGCCCATCATGGCCTAACCCTAAAAGACTGTGATTGTCACAAAGCTATTTATAAAATGCACTTTAAATATAAAGACACAAATATTTTACAATTTTTTTTTTTAATTAAAGCTGGGCATGGTGGCTCATACCTATAATCCTAGCTACTCAGGAGATTGAGATTGGGAGGACTGGGAAGCCAGCCACAGCAAAAGTTCATGAGACCCCATCTTAACCAATAAAAAGCTGGGCATGGTGGCACATATCTGTCATCTTAGCTATGGAGGGATGTATAAATAGGAGGCATGGCTCAAGTGGTAGAGCACCTGCTTAGGAAGTGGAAAGCCCTGAGTTCAAAACCCAGTACTTCAAAACACATTTCTTAAAAATTAGAAAAAGATATAGCATGAAAATATACTAATTATAAAACTAGAATAATTATGTTAGTAACAAAAAAGCTAGACTATAGACTAAGGAATATTAACAAGGGAAAAAGAAAGATTTCAGAAAGATAAAATGTTTGATTCATTAATAAAACATTATTCTAAAAGACATGCCCTTTAGTTTCACAATATCTAAGCAAAAGCTAACAGTTGAAAGTGCTAACAGAAACAAACAGAACTGGACCCGTCAAGTTGAAGTTATGTTTGTTATAAATAGCTTCTCTTTCCTACAGATTATAACTTGAAACTGTGGAAAGAATAAGCAACTATCAGAGGACACATTTAAAAAAGAGAAAGGGAGGAAGGGAAAGAGTGAGGGAAGGAGGAAAAGAGGGGAAGGGAGGGAGGCAAGGAAGGAGGGAGGAAGGGAAAGAAGGATAACAAACTGGAGAGGGAAATCAAAACTTGAAGAACCACTGTTACAGTATGAGGCTTTTTTGAGGGGATCCTTTGTTTTTGTTTGTGCATTTTTGTTTTTAATCTCTATATTCTAGCTTTGATCTAAAGATGACTAAAGTTGTAGAACTGCAGTGACCACAAAACTGTAGGAGAAATCTAACCTTTTTGGTTAAAGGAGAGAAAAAAGGAGACCATGCAAAACATAGTGTGTTTAAGGAATCATGACTTGTTTTTGTTTCTCTTGCAATTCCTCTAAAAGACCAACTCCAGTTGTAGAGCTACACTGCAATGGTGGTGGCGGTGCCACAAAGCCCCTAAAATCTGAAGGAAAAAAGCTTGTCACGAAAGCTTGACTAGAAAGAACGCCAACTAAAGAGGCTGCTGTGCAACCAAAATGTAAAAAGAAATCTCCATTATTTTTCTTTCTCTTTTCTCAGAGCACTTTGCCCTTAGTTGCTCAGGGCAAGCAATTCTATACAATAGCACAAAAGAGTAAAAGCTCTAAAAGAGAAATCTGTCTTTCTACCCAGGGAAAGAAGAAGAATAGGCCCATGGAAGAAAAAAAGAGTATGGGGAGTCCTGGAGAGGACAAAGCAGAAGATAATCCCCTTGTTCTGTGTTTAAGCTAACACAAGTCTTGGACTCACCACCATGCTATACATGTATAGAACAGAGTGAAAAAGCATAGCAAAGAATTTGAAAATTGAATTAACACTGGAACCAGAAAGCAAGACAGAACTTGCAGTCTACACATAAGCAGCTACACTGCCAGCTAGAATAAAACAAAATCAATGTTCTTCAAGGGATTTTAACCAGAAATAGAGTCTCAAAATCTAAGATTCAAAAAGTCTGGGAAACAATCCTATTACTCAAAAAAACAGTAAGGGTGACCAAGTCTCAAGGGAAAAAATAATCAGTAGATACCCATCCCAAGATGTCCACTTACTGGAATTATTAGACAAGGACTTAAAAAATTAATGTTATAATCATACTACATGATACAAAGGTAAACATACCTGACATGAATGGAAACATCAAAGTTCTTGATATGAAACAAAAAAATTTAAAAGAACCAATACAAATTTAAGATCATAAAAATGTATTTAAAATTAACAATTTACTGGGCTCAATAGCAGAATGGAGATAAAAGAGTAAAGAGTCAGTGAGTCTGAATATACGACAACAAATTATCCAAACTGAAGAACAAAGGAAAAAAAAGATTAAAAAACAATGAAAAGAGCCACAGGAAATATGAGACAATATGAAAATGTGCAACATTTTTATCAAGTAAGTCCCAAGAGGAGAAGAGAATTAGAGAAGAAAAAAAAATTACCAAAAAATAATGCCTGAAAACTCCCCAAATTTGTTTAAAGATATAAATGTACAGATTCAAGAATCTCAGTGTCCCTTAAAAAAATTTTTAAAGATAAACTCAAAGAAAACCAGATCCAGACAAATAAACTGCTAAAAAACAAAAATAATGAAAGAGTACTGAAAACAGAAAAAATATCATGCCACAAATAGGGGAACACTGTCTCAAATAACTGAAGATATCTCATCAATAACTATGGAGATAATATCTCTCCCATGATCTTTCTTACTTTTTGTACCTTTCTAAGGAATGGATGATGCACAGAAATATGACTTGTATAGTACTGACTTTGTATTTATTTAGGAGGAATTGAACCCCTTTGTAATTTTTAACAGGTCTAAAATCTGGTCTTGCTAAAAATATTTTTGTTCTTTGACTGCCTAACTCAGGATTTCCACTAGTCATAATCTGATAGTTATCAATGAATTTTGTCTGCAGGCAGGTTGTAGCTATGACACATTCAGTTTTAGAAAGGATAGGATCTAAGGTGGTGCCTAATAAGACATGTATTTGCCATAACAGGTTGCCAAAAAAAAAACCATAGCCCTAAAATTCTCATATACTTAGTGACTGATTTATTTGATATATGCTGAATATCCAGTCTTCTGATGTGTATTAATTAGAAATACAAAGAGGATAGAATGGTTTCTTTAAGAGCTGATACTCTGTATAATTAAGAACTGAATAAAAACTGCTCTTTACTACTCACTCTATTTTAGACCTTCATAAAGGTTAAGACATGAAATCTGGAGCTCAGACCTGGGTTTGAACCCTACCTCTACCTCTCTCTGGCTATATGGTAAATTACTTAACTTCTCTAAAGCTAGTTTCCTCATCTATAAAACAGTTAATAATACAGTTTACATCATAGGCATATAAGAGGATTAAGGGACTTCACCCATATAAAGTGTTTTATAATATGTTTGGCACAAAGTGAATACCTAATAAAATGCTTATCATCACAATCATCATCAATACTGGAAACCTTGAGAATAAAAATCTTAGGTCCAAGCGCAATAATTATAACACATCCCCTTGAAATGGATGCAAGGTATAGGCCCTTCATTTCCATTGAAGCACCTTGACAGAACCCCTGGATTTCTATGGAGCAGAGTCTATTGAGAAGCATTTAGATCCTTTTATAATACTAATTAAGTAGCTGAGGCCCAGAGGATGAAGTAACTTACTCAGGCTCATACAGCTATTTTGTGGCAAATACAGGATTAGACTCAATCCTCTCTTCAAACTAATAAACTTATTCCATACATTAAGACAAGCTTAGCATTATCAAAAATAGCCATCTTTACCTTTCTTTTTAGAAAATTCTTACATTCTTGCAGATCTATAAAAATTAAGTTGAATATTATCTATTTCCATATTTTGTAACATCAGCTTCCAATCTTGTATTTTTTAATAAAATACATAATGAAAAATATTTTGTATAAACATATATGTTTGTGTGTATATATACATATAAACATACATGGAGTTTAGTTCCCCTCAAACTTAAATCTAGCCATGAATACGCCCATATATGCTAAATCCTAAGAGTTTTTTTTTTTTTAAATTACCAAACTAAGAGGTAATCTTAAAGACACCACCTCCATCCTTACCAACACATTACAAATATCTTCTTCTAGCCTGTCATTTGTTGCTGCACCATATTTACTATGTCTTTCTTATTTAAATTTTTAAGTACCAAAATGCAACTATCTTTTTCTTTTTCTTTGGCTTTTCCTACCTGACACCACAAAATATTCTCGAATATTTTCTTCTAACAGGCTTAACTTTCACTTTTTTTTCTTTTCCAGTGCTAGGGATCGAATTGAGGGGCTCATACACGCTAGACAAGTGTTCCACCACCAAGCTACACCCACAGTCCTTATTTTTCACTTTTAAGTATTTGACTCACTAGAAATAATTTTAAGTGTATAATATAAATCTGAAACCTAATTTTATTTTATTCTATTAAGTGAAGCAATTGTCTGATATTATTTATTGAATAGCCATCTTTTCTCCCACCGAATTGTGGAGCTAATTCTGTCATTCTCTTTCTTTCTAATCATCATACTTCATTTCTTTTTTTTTAGTCACCCTGCATTATCTGGATTCTCCAATACAATGTCAGAGCCATGGTGATAGTTATCAGGTCCTACTTGTTCCTGTTTAGATGCATCTTAATAGTAATGTGTCTGAAATATTGGAAAAAATGTAAGATTTTAATAAATATCATTTATCTGGTTAAGAAAATTTCCTTGGGCTGGAGGCATGGCTCAAGTGGTAGAGCACTTGCCTAGCAAGTGTATGAAGCCCTAAGTTCAAACTCCATTACCACCAAGAAAAAAAAAAAAAGAAAAACCCAAGAAAATTTCCTTCTATTTTCAGTTTGACAAGAACTTTATATACATAAAACAGACCATAATTTTTATCTAATGCTTGTTCTGTATCTACTGATATGGGATTTCTTTCTCTTTTCACCTCTTACATGGTAAGTCATATTCATGTATTTTAATGCTGAATCATCCTTGCCATGGTATGCATTATGATTGCATTCCCTACATATATTCCGTCATATACCACTGTTTAGCAATTTGACTTACACCTATGTTTATCCTATACCAAGATTCAAAATTAGATCATCAGATCCCTAAGCCAATCAGAATAATCCCATCCCCTCTGTCAGAGTGAGACATTGAGGGGTCGGAATGTATCACAACCTATATCAGTTTATTTCATTGTTTAAATCAGAGTGAAAGTCATGTTTTGTTCAATCAGTAAAACAATGAACTCTTTCTCAATCCAACCAGGCATGAACAGATCACCTAGCCTTACCTACCAATTTCTGCTGGTAGCCAAATTGTTACTTTGACCCAAGCCAGCTAATGGAAAATGATGACACAGACAAAATCTGAGCTGAGTAGTTTATTAAAAAAAAACCTTACCAGAGCCAAAATCAAACTACTTCTGAAGTAGTTTCAGTTTCCAGCTGAAGTTGGAGTTGTTGTTTTCTTGTACCCAAAAGCACCCTTACTTACTAGCTGGTATTCAGAGTACAAATCCAACTCATTCATGAACATTTTTCATTAAATACACTGATGGAGGAGTTGATGTGCTATTTCATGTATAATTTTACCAACTATAAAAATAAATGTAGTAAACTGAATAAAAAGCGTATCATATGAAAGACAGTATCCACTATGCCCAAAAATTCATTCATTTGTTCAATAACTATTGAGAACATACAATGTGCCAAATTCTGCAGATAAAATGAGGTCGCAGACATAGTCTTCATTCTCAAAGAACACTGATTTTACAGGCTAACATATGGGCAAAACATAAGAACCAGAGTGGGACCTCTCAACCAAAACTGAAAGCCTAGTGATCCTGATCTTATAAAACAAAACAAAGAGTTCGAGTTGGGGGATCCAAGGCCAGGCGTGGTAGTACATGTCTATACTCTCTGCACTCCAAGGCTGAGGCAAAAGGATCACAGGTTCAAGACCAGCCTGGGCTACATAGGAGACACTGTCAAAAAAAAAAAAAAAAAGTGTAATAATAAAAAATAAAAGGGTTTTCTAATTTTCATTTTAAATTTTTGTTATCACATTCCAGTTCCTTTATGGTTTCTAAGAGTTCAGTATAATACCTGTGTTAGATGGGTCCAAAATTAATTGAAGAGATGGCTTATTTGTTTGACTGGCTGGAATATCTCCAAATGAATGGTCTGAAATCTCATTGGAACTTTGACAATCAACAAGACGACTGCTTTGAACTTTCTCAGAATCTCTCAAAATCTCTTCCATGGCTTTTTCCAATTGTTCATCACCATTAGAAACTATCTACAGACAGAGCAAGAAAATTCCTTTTTCAATCCTATTTTAATTCTGTAAATTAATTCTGTGAAAATATTTCATTTCTACAAAAAATGAAAACAACCTAAATATTTAAATAGTGATTGAATATTAAGAATTTATACAGTTATATCTAATTTCACATGCATGTAAAACAAGAAAATTCTGAAGGATAAAACCAACTAAATTAGAGGAAGATTATTAGTTTCACTAAAGGATTATTATTATTAAATTTATGTAAGATGTAGCCATTAAGTTTAATTCACCAATTACTTTCTCTTCTATTTTCCCTTCTATTTCTTCCTTCTAAAATTCCAAATTGGAAAATAAATAACCAAATGCAAAAACTTAAAAATACTCAAACCAAATACTTAGATTCTGGATAAATCAAACACTGATTTTTATTCTCAAGGTCAATACTTGAGCAAATTTTAAGCTTTTTACATGCCATTCCAGATAACCTTACAATGCTTTAAAAGAGAAGAACAATAATTAAAATAATGTCATTAGAAAAGAAAAAAATACCTTCAGTTGAGGTTTTTCATCATCTTTTATAGATGTATCATCCGCATGCTGAGGAACCAAAACAAATTCTTCACTGTTCAGTGTAGCCACAGAATCAGATGACCCACTAACCTTCTGTAATGAAGCTCTGACCTCCATTTCAGTTCTGCAAACTTCTCTTCCCACATACACCTGGCAAACCTACAAGGATATTAAATATATGTATATATATGTATATATATATATATATATATATATATATATATATATACACACACACACATACACACACACATATATATGACTAAAAACATAAATTAAAAATGAACTACTGAAGCTTTAAAAATGGTTATGTGAAGAAGAATACTGCTGACTTGGTGATTATCTCAAAATCAGGAAGGCTATCTTCTTAGACTGTACTACATAATGGAAATATACTCTCTTCACTCTTCAGTTTCCAGATTAAAAGAACCATATTGTTCCCTGAAAAATATACAAACACGCCCAGATTTCAATGAAAGAAATTTACCTCTATTTAATGCTCTTACTTCATTTAGAAATACTGCTTTTATTATTTTTAATAGAGGAAATAATTAAGCATGTTACTAGATACGAATTCACACATGCATGCACACGTGCATATGCATGTACATACACACATAATAAATTCAGCTGGACAGAGTACGACACACCAAAGTCCTAGCTACTCAGAAGACTGAGGCAGGAGGATTGCTTAAACCCAGGAATTCAACATAGCAAGGGCAACATAACAAAACCTGTCTCAAAAAATATATATCCTTTCAATTTATCAATTAAATTCAAGTGCTTTCAAGAAACTTATCTCCTCAAGACCAAAACCAAGTATCTTTAAATATTTTTCCTGGATCATTGAAGTATTATGACTAGAATTGAACACCCTAAGCCATGCATCTTTTCTTTTCCAGACACATTAACACTTATTAGCACACACAAATAAAGGAACATTTTCATATTGCATTCATGTAGCAAATTAAGTTTCAGTAATCAAATATAGTATAAGTCTGTTTTCTGGACAGATCTATACCCTCACAGATACTCAAAATTCTTATCATATCTTAAAGTTCATATACTCAAACAACTAATCTTGACTGAAGATATCTACTATATAGCATACATTGTACTCAGTCCTGGGATTCCATGAATGAACAAGGCAGATAGGTACCCTGCTGTTCTGGAGCTTACATACTGATGAGGAAACAAACAAGGTGGTAAGGAAAAAAAGTTAATCCCAAAGCACCCTAAAGGCTATGAAGAAAACAAAACAGGCTAATGTGACAGAGAAACTACGAGAAGTGTGAGGATATCCTTAAGTAAGGTAGTAGGGAAAACACACACACACACACACACACACTAAGAGGTAAATACATAAGCTAAATTCTAAAAAACAAAACAAAACAAAAAACCCATATATTCAACAATCTGTACAGTGATCAAATGAGTACTGTGATAGAGGGGCAGGGTAAGCAGGCTGGGCTAAAGAACACAGGACCCTATAAACCACAGCAAGCCTATGCACAAAATTCTCTCAGAAATGTTCTCTTTTCCTCTAATTGGGCTACTCTTTTCATTGCCACATACAAATACGACTGCAATATTCTACTTTGCCATTAGGTGACACTAACACCATTACTCCTGGGGGGAAAAAAACTTCCAACTTCAAGTTTAAAAATCACTTTCCAACTTTATCAAAACCCAAAACTCCCAGGAATACCAAAACAAAGAATATTTATACTCTTGGGTTAGCCAACATTTATTTCTGTTATGCATGTTAATATCCTTAAAAAAAAAAAAAAAAAACTTCAAGCACATTCATCTGGTTTCTAAAGGTTTTTCCCACTTTGCATGCTGTATGTTTCCAAAAATGTAGAGTGTGTTAAAAGCCATGTCTCTCATTGCCATGGATTTTAAAAAAGCATAACTGTACATATGCTAGAAGTCTCCCAAATTTCTATCCCAACTCAAATGTCTCTTCTAACTTTCTGACTTGGAATCCAACACTCTACTTGACATTTCCTAGTAAAAGTCTCATCAGTATCTTAAGTAAAATGTGACTAAAATAGAATTTCTACTGTTTCCTCCAAAGTTGTTTCTCACCCATATTTCCCACTTCAGTAAGTAACACCATTTTACACTAAGTTACTCAAACAAGAAACCTGGATATTATCCTTGACTCACCTCTACTTCTTCACTCTTCTCATCAGCAAGTCTTGGTGAGCCCCACATCCAAAATAAATCCCACATCTATCCATTTGCCATTATGTCCACTACCACCATCTACTACAAAAGTCTCCCAATCAGTCACCTATCTCAACTATTGTTCCCCTCAATGTACTCTTCGCCCACTACCAAAGAAACTTTTTGGAACAGAATTAAATTAAAACTCCAGACTAACACCTCTTCACTCTAATTCAAATAAAATCCAAAGTATCTGGCAGGACTTATGGGGCTTAATGCACATCTGCCTCTGTCACTTTCTCATCATAGCTCCTTAATCACAGTAAATTCTTCCCCACTTTAGGGTTCTACTCTTACCTCCTACCTTAATATCATTGACTCTTTCAAGTATCAGTTTTCATTTATGCATTTAACACATATTCAATGAGTCCTTATTGTGCACCAGAAACTACATGCATGAAGAAAACTGCTAATTTGTCTTCCCTAAAGCTAACATTCTAATGGAAGAGACAGACAATATAGAAGAAAACAAATGGATCACAGAATAAGTACTACAAAATGCCTATTTGATATTTGAGTTTAATAAGAACAAGTGAGCTATGGAAATAATTGAGGAAAAAAAACTCTACCAGAAGAAACAGCAAATACAAAAGCCTAGATATAAAAAAAAGGACTTATTCAGGAACAGAAAGAAAGACAGTTTTAAAAAAGCCAACCAGGCCAAAGTTCTCACAAATAGTAAACGTGGAGCCATGACTCAAACCTTTAAGATATTCTGCCAGACTAACAAGAAAGCTCTTAGTTTACTAGATGTAATTTTGGTACCTCCTCAGAACAATTTTCTCATTCTATTCAGAAATTAAAACAACCTTCATTATAAGCACAAAACACTGCCACAAAAGGTCATAGGCATATTTAAAAATGTGCTTCACATGTACAGGAAAGCAATGCGAGTCAACTCCCTGTATAGCTATCCTTATCTCAACTAGCAAAAACCCTTGGTCCTTCCTATTATTGCTTATACTGTCTCTTCAACAAAATTAGAGATAAGGTCAAAATAGTTTCTGCCTGGTAGCGAGGGGTGGGGGGGAGAGGGAGGAAGTGGGGGGTAAGGGAGGGGACAGGAAGAAGGGGGAAGAAATGACCCAAACATCGTATGTGCATATGAATAAAAGAAAAAAAAAAGAAATGTGCTTAATGCTACCTTATTCAGTTGATTTTGAACCTGATACAAAGATGACATGTTTATCAAATTTGCACACTACTCAAAAATCTAAAATGTCTCTGGGTTTCAATGGCTCACACCTGTAATCCTAGCTGCTCAGGAAGCAGAGATCAGGAGGATCACAGATCAAAGCCAGTTTGTGAAACCCTATCTTGAAAATACCCAACACAAAAAAGGGCTGCCAGGGTGACTCAAGTGGTAGAGTACATGCCTAACAAGCACAAAGCCCTGAGTTCAAACCCCAGTACCACCAAAAAAATATAGAAAGAGAGAAAGGCAAAGTGATACTTTAAAATATCTCAACAGACAAGAAAAGTTGAAAGCAATAGTATTTAAATGAGAAAGAACAATCTTTTCAACAAATGGTACTAGGACAATTTAGCTGTCTGCATGCAAAATAATGAAGTTGGCCAGGCATGGTGACTATTAGCTATAATCCCAGCTACTCACGAAGCAGAAATCAGGAGTATCACCATTTGAGGCCAGCCTGGGCAAAAAGTTAGAAAGCCCCATCTCAACCAATAAAAAGATGGGCATGGTGGTATGTGCCTGTCATCTCAAAGGCACAAATAGGAGTATCACAATCTAGGCCAACCAGGACAAAATAATTAAAGCAGAAATGGCTGGGGCATGGCTCAAATGGTAAAGCACCTGTTTGGCAAGTGCAAAGTCCTGAGTTCAAACCCCAATAACACCACCAAAAGAAAAGAAAAAAAAAAATAGCCAAGTACTAGTGCTCACACCTGTAAATCCTGCTCAGGAGGTGGACATCAGGAGGATCACAGGTCCATACCAGCCTGGGCAAAAAGTTTGTGAGATCCCATCTCAACAGAAAAGGCTGGGTGTGGTAGTACATATCTGTATCCAAACTGCTGTGAAAAGCATAAAACAGGAGGATGCAGTCCTGGTCAGGACAAAAAAGGTAACCCTGATCTTCAAAATAACCAGAGCGAAAAAGAGATGTTTTGTATGGTTCAAGCGATAGAGCAACCTGCTAGCAAGTGCAAGCCCTTGAGTTCAAACCACCAGCACTGGCAAATAAATTAAATAAAGTTGGACCTTTCCCTCACACCATGCACAAAACAGTTCAAAAATAGATCATAGATTATAAATGTAAGAGCTAAAATTAAAACTCTTAGAGAAAAGGTAAGAGTAAATCTTCATGTCCTTGGGCAAAGTATTGTACCCTAGATTGATACCAAAAGCACAAGAACAAAAAATTTAAAATGCATAAACTGGACTGTCTAAAAATTTACAGTATTTATGCTAAAAAATGGTATCTTGAATAAAACAAAGAAAACTCACAAAGCCAGGCTGTAATGCCAGAACTTGAGAGCCTGAAGCAAGAGAATCAAGAACTCAAGCTGAGCCTGGGCTGCACAAAGAGACTCTGTTTCAAAATAAAAGGAAAGGGATACTAATGCATATAATTCAGTGGTAGAGCACTTGCCTAGCCTGAGTGAGGCCCTAGGATTCATCCTCAGCATCTGAAAAAAAAAGACTCATAGGTAGAGAAAATATTTGCAAATCATGTATTTGATAAGGGTCTTTATCTTTAAGATTTTATGAGGAACTCTTAACAAGTCAATAATAAAAAGACAAGCCAACTTCCAGTTTTAGCTAAAGAGCTTAGAAATCCATCACTCCCTTCCTTACAAAACAAGAAAGCTGAACACATTAAAAATCAACAGCTTTTGAACTGGAGGTGTGGCTCAAGCGGTAAAGCTTCTTCTTTGCAAGCCAGAAAGTCCTGAGTTCAAAACCCAGTTCCACCAAAAACAAACAACAACAACCAAAAATTAACATCTTTAAGCTTGGCAACAGCTAGAGCCCACTACTGATGACATGGATTAAGAAAATGTGGTACAAGCAACTAGGCTTCATCCCAGGAATGCAGAGGTGGTTCAACATACACAAATCAATAAATGTAATACACCACATTAACAGAAGCAAAGACAAAAACCACTTGATCATCTCAATAGATGCAGAAAAAGCCTTTGATAAGATCCAACACCATTTCAAGATAAAAGCTCTAAGAAAACTAGGAATAGAAGAAAAGTACCTCAACATTATAAAAGCTATATATGATAAACCAACAGCCAGCATTTATATGTAACAGTGAAAAACTGAAAGCATTCCCTCTAAAATCAGGAACGAGACAAGGATGCCCACTATCTCCACTCCTATTCAACATAGTACTGGAATTCCTAGACAAAGCAATTAGGCAAGAAGAGGGAATAAAAGGAATACAAATAGGCAAAGAAACTGCCAAAATATCCCTGTTTGCAGACGGTATGATCCTATACCTTAAAGACCCAAAAAACTACTCAAAAGCTTCTAGACACCATCAACAGCTATAGCAAGGTAGCACGATATAAAATCAACATAGAAAAATTATTAGCATTTCTATACACTAATAATGAACTGAGAAAGAATATATGAAAACAATTCCATTTACAAATAGCCTCAAAAAAAATCAAATACCTAGGAGTAAACCTAACAAAGGATGTGAACGACCTCTACAAGGAAAACTATAAACTCCTAAAGAAAGAGATTGAGGAAGACTATAGAAAGTTGAGAGATCTCCCAAGCTCATGGATTGGCAGAATCAACATAGTAAAAATGTCTATACTCCCAAAAGCATCTACATGTATAATGCAATTCCCATCAAAATCCCAATGACATTCATCAAAGAGATTGAAAAATCTACTTAAATTATTTGGAAACACAAGAGGCCGAATAGCCAAGGCAATACTCAGCAAAAAGAACACAGGAGGTATCACAAACATCCTGACTTCAAACTATATTACAAAACAATAGCAATAAAAACAGCATGGTACTGGCACAAAAACAGACATGAAGACCAGTGGAACAGAACAGAGGACCCAGATATGAAGCCACACAACTATACCAACTTATCTTTGACAAAGGTGCTAAAAATATACGATTGGAGAAAAAGACAGCCTTTCAATAAAAACTGCTGGGAAAACTGGTTAGCAGTCTGCAAAAAACTGAAACTAGATCCATGTTTATCACCCTATACAGTATTAACTCAAAATGGATCAAGGACCTTAATATCAGACCCCAAACTTAAGTTGGTACAGGAAAGAGTAGGAAATACTTTGGAACTAAGTTAAGGTATAGGCAAGACTTTCCTCAATGGAACCCCAGCAGCTCAGCAACTAAGAGATAAGCATAGACAAATGGGACTTCATAAAACTAAAAAGCTTCTTCACAAAAGAAATGGTCTCTAAACTGAAGAGACACCCACAGAGTGGGAGAAAATATTTGCCAGCTACACATCAGACAAAGGACTGATAACCAGAATATAGGGAACTCAAAAAACTAAAACTCCAAAATTAATGAACCAATAAAGAAATGGGCAAAGTGAACTAAACAGAACTTTCTCAAAAGAAGAAATTCAAATGGGCCAAAAACAACAT